AAACGAGCACTTTCTTGCCGCCGACATCGTCGGCGAAGAGGCCACTTCCGAAAAGGAAACACGATGAAAACACGACGCTCAACCACACCGCCAATAACTGAATGGCAGCATGGCCGCATCGCCGCCAGATGCACACCTTCGGATACTTTCGGCTTAGGGCTTGGATTGGATTGGGGTCTGTGGCTTTCCAATTTGTTACTAAATGTAGTAGCTATAACGGGATCTAGCCTAGTATCGAGCCCTCAATCCACACCAATCCAATCTAAGGCTTGGACTGGATTTGCCGGCTGTTCCCTTCGTATCGTGTGGCGGACTCTACATCGGGTCAGAGCCCGCGCTTCGCTCTAAGTAGAATTCATTGCCTATTTTTCTGCCCTCAAGTCCCCAAGTCTTTGCTCAGGGCACTCGATGGCGTTTCCGGCTCATTTTCCCCGACTGGGCTCGCTTTTTGACAATATCGCTGACAATTCCCTGATTTTTCCCGGTGACTAAAATTTCACTCACTATTCCCGGTTTTCCCGGTCGCTAGACACCCTGTAAAACTAAGGCAGTCCTATTTCAATTTCCGCGGGATCATGTGTTCGAATATCACGCGATTTGTATTTTGGGTTATGCACAATAGAATGTGTTGATACCATTAAGACTCTCGGTGTTGTATTTTCTGGTCATTTGTCATGAAATAATCACGTAACATACTTTCATAAAAACTTCGTAAAGTTGTCAAGATTTAGAATAAATACTGGCATATAATCCCAGTAAACATCAAAATATTAATCTACAATCTGTAATCTGCTATTCCCATTTAGTATGGGGAACAACTACTAGCAGCCATTTAGACAAGTTGCGTCTTTTACAGAAAAAGGCTGTTAGAATAATTGAAAATGTACCTCTCGTATATATAATACGTATTCCTCTAGATTGATTTTAAATTACCAACAATGTGTTAGAAAGAAATATTAACATAATCTTAGACATCGCTAAACTGAAAAAAAGAGAAGAAAACGAGTCCATTTACTTATTCTGTCATAGGCCCCTTTGGCGTGTCCCTGCACTTAGAACAAGGTTTGGCACTCAAAGATACCGCTACCAATTACCGCTCTTGTAAAACTTGCTATTTTCTCGCGACATTGATACTTACTCCGTAAACAATCGACCCATACAAGAAATTTTGTGACACAAAACCATTATTTACGTTTCTGATAGCTCTAAATATGTGTACTTAGATGTATGTATATTTTCTTCGTGATTGTTATATACTGGTGTTTTATTTTTATTCATATGTCAGTATCGCTGCAACCTTGTATTAGGGCACTAGGAAAGCTGCAAACGTGCAGTTTTTTTTCCAGCGCCCTTGTCACGAATGTATTTTTGTGGCAGAAAATATAAACTGATTTGATTTTATATCTATCCTGTGGGCACCTTGTACGTGGGAGTCACCAAGAAAAATGCCGAGATTATATATTTTTTTTAACAGTCTGGTTGGGATACGCGTGTTAAAAAATAATTTTACACACAAAAAAAAAATATTTTTGGAACAATATTGCCGGGGCGAGACGCGATTTCAGTGGCCAGTCACCTCCTTTCAGTTTTCTCTCGGCATTTCGGGCGCGTGGAGGAGAGGTTGTTCCGGCTTCGCCTTCACGTTGAGGTGGAAAGAGCGAATCAACATTCCGTGATGTCATGGACTTTGCGCGCAGAATTTCGAAGACATCTCTCGTTATATTATAATGCAATTAAATGCAAAGGTGCAAGCGAGCTGGACAAGAATGACGAAATTAATCCCTGGAGAAGGGGAACAAGGGGGACAAAGGACAAACATAAATCTCCAAACAACAGCTAGGTTTCGACATCTCTCGTAGTTTTTTAACAGGTGCGTCCCAACTACAGTATTAAAAAAAACAAAAAAATTTAGGTTTTTTTTTTTTTTTAAGGGGTGGTATAAGGAAACTGTTTCAAAAGCCACGCGAAGTGTGTTGCAAAATGTTGCCACGGCGTCCACTTTTTTTTTTCTTTATGTACGGACGTATGTCGAGGTTTCCTTTTGTTGCATTTTCGCGTAAACCCATATAATCTGTTTTTGTTTGAGTTTTTACAATTAAACAGTTGAGAATCGTAACTTTGAACTGCGCTAGTCTCATCGCCCGTAAAAAAAAAAAAAAAAAAACAATGGGTACTAAATTAGCTGATAACAGGAACGTTGACTGCTACACTGATGCAAATGGTTCGCTAGAAAACGCACCTAGCGGGAAAAACTTGTAATACAAAAAGCCCGCCCTCCAGAAAAAAAAAATCCGGTTACTTTTGGGTTAGCTCTTACATAGATGCTCTACAGCAGCTGTGAATGGACGGAGCCATAACCAATCTTCAGTTTTTGTTTGGTCTTATACCCTAGTTACACTACCGCACTTAATTGTCATCAAGCCAACAATCGTTGACACCTCCCAACTGTCATTAAGCTCAACTAAGTTGTCCGGTGTTACACGGTACACAGGCCTAACAACCCCAGTAGAGATGCGCGTCAAGGGACACACATTATCTTCTTTTTTTTTTTTTAAATAGCAATGCAAATGCATATAGGCACACTTTGCATTCAATACAAACGCATTAAACAAAATCAAATAAACTTCATTGTTTTTAGAGAACAGGAACGACAGTCATAACGTGTCACACGAATTCAAGCAAAAGAGACCGTGACAACAAAAGTCTTAATGGCACCGACATCATAATGGCCGCCCTCGCCGAGCTTTGGCTCGGCGAGGGCGGGGGCGATTGGTGGCCGAGTGGGCTAGCGCACACTTTAGCGCACACCAGCTCGGAGCACGTGGAGCGAAAGCTCGCGCCGCAGAACCCAGGGATCCTGGGTTCCATCCCCACCCCTGTCCGTTTCGATCTAGATGAGCATCGTACCAGCGTGTGGTCGTGTATCATTACTGCGTGGTGCACGTTAAAGACCCCAGGCTAGCGGTTGTACTGCACTGGCTAAATTGCTCATCTACAGCGAATGACTCGTGTCGCAACTTTGAAGTGGCTGACCAACCACACACTGTCTAAATATCCCCACAACCCCAATTATTATTACTGATCGTACTAGCGGCAGCTCTTGCCCCGAATCGTACCTCTTTCAACAATCCTTGCTGCTAGGATACTTTCAAGATACCTCTCCCTAGGGTGTCTATTTGTCCTTCTGTTTAAAGCCCCCCTATCCTGGGAAAAGTGGTGCCATTCATTGTTGTAGAAATGCTCGAGGCACGTGCCGCGCGACTTCTGGGAAATTGATGGCGTCTGAAATCTTGCTCAGTGCTGCGCTGTGCCGCCATGATCTTCCCAAGGGTTGCACGTTGCACGTGCCTCGACGAACCTTGCGCTACTTTTGAGCTAAATACGATAACAGCGCCACCCTTTAGCGACGAGTTGAAACATGAAAGTTGCTTTATATAGCTATAGTGCTAAAGTCACTGAATGTTCCTCGAGCACCGAAACTCCCAGGCTCGAGGTGCCAAGATGGCGGCTCAATGTTTTTTTCTTTACTGTGCTCACCATGAGCCTTTAGAAAGCATGCTTTTGCGTAAAAACAAATGTAAAAAGCTCTTTTTTGTAGGATTTTTTATTGGAGATCAGTACAGAATGACAGGCGCGTGATGTTTTCTCAAATCTTTAGTTTACAAGGTTTTGTGGCACAATTAATATTGTTTTTATACACCATGTCTCACCGGTGTTTTCAGGCGCGTCCTAATTTCGGTAGTAATTCGCGGCGCGTCTGCTTGAGAGACAGGGGTGGCATCCCTGAAACCCAAATACGTTTCGGCGCCAAAATGACCGATTAAAGCCAAAATAGAAGAGCAGCAGTAGACGCTATCTAATGCGATACTCCGGGAACCAATACAAGCAGCCGTGCAGTTCCCCGAGTGGCCGCTGCGGGAGAAATGGCGGCGTTGCGATCGCCATTAGCTCGGTTCTCGAGAACAGATCGGCGCCACTTTTTCAGAGCAGGCTCTACGGCAGTTTCCCAACTGAGTTGTTCTAGTAACGTTGGTACACGATTCCATCCAGAAGGTTCAACCAACGAACCTTATTGTGTTCGCTGGGTGAAGGAGATTCCCAGCTGTAGATGTTCGACTAGCTGACGTGTTCAGCGATAAACATTGTTATACTGTCATACTCTTTAGTTTTTTTTTTTGTTTTTTTTTTTCTTTTGGGGTCGCTCATCTGCTTTTGTCGCAACAGATCCATACTGAGGTTGGAATTAATACGAAGCTGTTTAAACGGTGTTGCGCACGTTACTCATCAAAAGTAACGAAATACCGTTACTTGGCCTTAAAAGAAACCAAGTGAGTTGCTCGTTCCTTTTCTAGAAAAGTACCTAAATACGTTAATCGTCACCGAAACGAAGTAACCAGGTAGAAGTAACTTGTTACATGTACACCGTTTCGTACATGTCTGGTTCTGTCCTCGCGAGAAAAAAAACGGCCAAGCAGGAGGCCGCACCTTTCGCACATAGCACGAAGTGTTGTTTTTTTTCTTTTCGTGACGGTATTTAGGATGTTTGTCATCAATCGCTACCTGTTGCAGTCCTGGAACGGCTTGGTCGCGACTACTTCTGGCAACAGCAAGATATGATCCGCCTCCGTGATCCGAGAACCGCGATCGCGAAGCTGACAGACGCGGCGTGGCGGCCATCTTGAATCGCGCCCCTCGCTGGCCAAGACTCGTTCTCGCAAGACCCACGCGAAGGCACCTGAGCTAGGCGCGGTACGTTTCTCGCAATTTTCGTAAAACAGACAGCCTCCGCTAGCTTCGGCAGCTCCGTTAATTCCCCGCTAGCACTGCACATGCGCACTAGTGTCGTCGCTCTAGCGTACAGCGTAGCGGGAGTGCCAAAACGATCTACTAAAACTCGATTAAAAAAAAGAAAAGCAGCGTGTGGGCGCAGTCAAGTTCGCGGCGTCGTGCCGCGGGACACGATATACAGGAAATCAGCGGCCCGCGGATAAGCACAATACAATCGGAGCGACAAGGCGATAGGCGACGAGAAAGCCATCGGCAGTCTCCTCACTGGACTGCCGCGATGACCTCGGCCTTGGCAGCGGGGACCATGCTTGGGCCGCACTCGCGGTGGACTCTGTAGTCCCGGGGGGCATTTTCTCCGCGACCCGAATGACAATATCTTTTGGCGAATCCTTCCGCTCGCGGATAGGGCGTCGGAATCAAGGCGCCAGATCTTCCCAACTCAGTCGAGGAGAAACGCCCACACCGCCCCGGTCATCGCGGCCGGCGATCTCGAAATATTTCAGAGGCACGCGGCAGCGGCTTTCGCACTCGCAACTCCACACGTGCGCGTCTTACGTCGCGTACTTCACCGCACATACATCGCGGCGAAAGTGCGAAACTGAGGGAAGGACGTTTGACAACGGCGTGCGCTCAAAACGGTAAGATCTTTTTTTTTTTTTTTCACGGCAGTATTAATTGCGCAATGCGGTCTGGTTTGACAGGTAGTGCTATCTTACTCGAAACTTTTCGACACGACAGGCGGTTACAATCAGTGGACCCGATCTCGAGCCCTGCCGAACAGTGACGCAGCACTCGATCGTGTAACCATCGTTAGGTGGCATGGCCTCCCCAAAGTTGCCCTTTCTCGCCACCAGTTGCGCTGACTAGCAGGCACCTCCTGTATAGGAGGCACCTCGATCGGCTGCCTCGGTACAGTGAACTAGAGAGGAGTAGTGAGTCCACATGCTGGCCGGAGAGGTTACTAGCAGAGGGCGCCACCGCCGTCTTCACTTGAAGTTCTCCGGACCCTACGCCTCCGCTCCGTCGACTCATGCAAAGCTCTGTGCGATGACCGCTGTTTTGATTATATTTTTATAAAAATAATATTTTCGAAATCATATGTTTGAAGAGTATCATAAAACTGCCTATTATTCCCGTATTTTACTGCTGCTTCTCGTTCTCTAATTGGGCAAGTTGCGCGGTAGCACCTTCCGCCGTTACAAGCGTACTCACGCAGGCGATCCAAAGCGTTCAAAGCAGCGCGTTTAAGCAGATCCGCTATACTTCGGTGTTTTGGTGAGCGAGCGGCTCTCAACACACGAATTGCGCTAAGCGCGTGCTTACGGGAGCGTTCACCAGCTTTGTATTGCACGGTCATAACTGGTGCTCATGGCAGATGATATGTAGCTGATGGCACGTGAACAGCGCTGCAACAGCGCTTCGCTGTACGTGAGAACCGGCCTTTAAGCTGAGACTAGAAGCTCCGCCGTCAGCGCGAGCTTCCTGCCTTTGCTAAACAACAGGGAAGGCGCAGGCACACGCAACCAAAGCACTGCGGAAGCCAGCGAGCTCGCGCTGTTTCGCTGAATCAGACTTGCTATTAAAATTTACTGCGGTTCACCTTAAAACAGTTCAAGGGTTTTACCAACCAGATACCAGCCCGAACTTCGAAAAGGACCAAATTAAGTTCCAGAATGTTCCTCACTCTGTTAAATGAGGACATTTCCAAAAAAGGGCTCCTGTCCGGTTCCATTTTCAGTGTTCGTGCGTATGGCGCGTGATTTGCTCGCTTTCCGAAGCGACGAACATGTTGGGCTGAGGATTTGTAAATATTGGAAGGTGTATGCCTTTTGCCAACCTACCCATGTCGAGCAGAATACTTGTAATGCGAGTACACGCGCGCGTTCTCCTTATTTGCACAAACTATTTTAAGTACGCAAATAACCAAAATAAGCGTTGAAAAACGTGCGTGCAAAGTGTTTCCTTTCTTTATTTGTTGTTGCTCAAAAAAGTAATTTTGCAAACGGATGCACGCGCACGCTTCTGTCTAAACAATAATAGAGTTCCTTTATGCCTGAATACACCATGGTGGGAGCGTTTTGATGAAGGGGAGAAAGACCAGTCTCAAGTAGCTTCATGGAAATCGAAGAGCACGATTCCTTTCCACAGAAACACACCCCCAGATAATTACATATATAAAAACTGCAAGAAACCGGGATAGAAATCACTGAGTGTGGCCGCGGACTTCTCTTTTCCAAAATCTTCGCGGTGAAAGAAGACCTGCATGTTTATCGTCACCCAAAATCGTACACACTTCCCGTTTTGCAACCAAAATTTCTTCCTTTTTTTTTTTTCTTTTTTGCAAAACATTTTTAAACAGCATTTTTTTTTTAATTAAAGCTTTCTACTTTTTGGGACCGCTATAGCAATTACTCAGTCTAGTTGGTCTGGAGCACGGCCGATGACTTGTCTTTCCGTTCCCTTTCAACGATGACACCGATGTAATATATCCCTTCTGCAGAGACGAATCCCTCAGATCACTCAATCTGTCTAAATAATCACGAAAAAAAGGGGCCCGAGTTTCTGGTAGGTCAAAACAGACACGTTTGCGTTGCGGAAAATGCCTGGCAAAATATATCGAACCGTGTATTTATGTGTACGTCTCGCTTAACGGGAGACTATACTCGTTGGTGTTAATGGGTAGAGGAGTTAATTTTAAGTTTATCTATTTCTCTTCATTGCCCTAACTTCTGAATTGAGGTTAAGCGGATTGTAGTAAGAAGAAAATTACGTGGGTTCTGTTAAGAGAAGGAATATACGTTAGAACTGTTATTCTTGGGGGATGTTTCAGCTTGTTGGGTCTTTGCGTGCCTATTTTCTGTCTCAGTGGTGTGGTGAACCTTGAAGGGGATTAGCCAGCCGGACTAGTGCCCGTAAACACACTAAGCTTAGGCACGTGTTTTTCTTCCCCTATATCTCCCCCTGGGAACTCAATAGTATAATTCATGAGGGTAGATGAAAAAGAATTTCAGTAAATGGTTGATAGTCCAGCAGTGTGTGTCTCTTTTTCTCCACTCCTTGGTTTTTTTCCCTCTACGTTCAGCTGGAAACCTTCGGAACCAGAAGCGTGCTCGCGTCGTGTCGTGCAAAGAGCCGCAACGAGAACGAGCTCACTGTGGCCAACTACGTTTTGGCTTTCTCCGCCAAGGCTTTGCAAACGCGTTCAGGCCTAGGCTAATTCTACCGCCACGCCGTATTTCCGCAGAACTGCGCTGTTCCTATGCCACAAGTGATGTCACGAGAACTTTCCCACCACCCACCAGACGTGAATTTGTTTCATTAGGTTTAAAATTAGTTCTCCTGTGTTTTACAGCGCGATATTGATATTTCCGAGGTGTTGCCTGTCTATAGACCATATTTATGCAAACAGATCGGCGCTAAAATTTCGTTTCCGTACCCCGCTAAGCAATGCAAAACGTCACGCTTGCATTGCTTAATGTCACAACTCAGACAGTGTTCTCTGGTCTAAATATATCTTTCGGCATCGTCATTCGTTGAGCTGCCTCCGTAAGTTCTGGTGATTGGCTCTCCGAGTATTGCGCGGAAAAGTAGACGCACCGGCTTTCTTCTTCTTCTTCTTTAGAATGCAGTGTACGAGGCCCGTGTCTCGAGCAGCCCTTGGAAGCATATGGCGGCGCAGCACTGAAATGAGCGGCCCTTGGAAACGAATGGCGGCGGAGCACCCCCCACCCGTAGCCCGTAGAGGCACGTGTCTTGCTCGCTTCCACAACATTGGTTGGCGGTACTTGTAAGCCTGATTCTTAGCGAGGAACTTTACCTTTTTTCTGAGGGGACTTTACCTGTTTTCGAGTAGGGAGCGCCGTGCGGCGGTCTGTCCGCGAAGTACAAATGAAGGGCGGCCCTACAGAACTCCGTTCGTCAAAACACATAGGCCTCGTGCCGTTGCATCGCTTTTTATTGCTTTGTTAGCGATACCCAGAAAAAGAATCACCAAAAGAGACGAAATACGCGGAAAACAACGTTGGACGTGAGGGGACGGCGCCTTCTGAAAATGGAGACAGCGGGAAGCGAGGCCGGGGGAGAGGGTGGGGCCGGAAGCTTACTGGGAAAAAAAGGTCAGTACGGGACGCTGTACGGGAGTCTTCCTGGAAAAAGCAATGCACCTTCAGACGCGCTTTTCGCCATGCAAGCCACGATATAGGACGAACGGAAGTGATGTCTTTAAAAAAATGCATTTTAAAGCAACTACAAACTCAGACCCCCCCCCCTAAAAACACACACACACACACACACACACACACACACACACACACACACACACACACACACACACACACACACAAACACACACACACACACGCACGCACACACACACACACACAGACAGACAGAGAGAGAGAGAGACCACCGCCAAAAAAGAAAACGAAAACTTCTCTTTTTGGTTTGTTACAAATATTAAATAAATAGTACTCGTTAAGAACAGAAAAGCCGTACTTGCGCCAAAAACCAATTTTCCGCACAAACCAATTACGTTTTGTGGACTAGAGGGCCTGACGGACGCCACACGTAAAATTGTAAACAAGACGTTTCACTAACTACACACATTAAGCCGAACATATTACTCAAAAAAAGGTTTAGCATGCGCAGCAATGGTTCCGTAGAGCTTCCAAGCTGGGCTTCCTAGCCGGCGCCATTTTAACGAGTGTAGCGCCGCCTACCCTCATCCGGGCATTTGGGAGAATCTGAACCCGCCCGAATGACCGACCGCCATTACTGGACTGTTACCCTGCTCCCCGAGTCACACCGATCGCAGCTGCTTCTGCCGGCACGGCTGTCGTATTCGGCGTCCTCGGCTCATCGTCTTCGTCCATGGAGCAAAGCACTATCCTAATCTGTATGTCAGGCATGGGGAAAAGTGCATCCCGCTTTCTTGGCATCTTTTTGTGGGTAATTTTTAGCGCAGTTCTGGGGGGCAGTCGTCGCTCCCAACCCGAACTCGGCGCTTCGATCGCTAGCGAAATTGGGGAGCGCTAGTGAAATTGACGATCATTAGTGAAATTGAGGATTGAACGAAGCCAGGATGGCACGAATTACGGCATGTGAATTTGCGCTAAACTCGAGTTGTCGCAGCTTGGGGGCGCCGGGAACATTTGAACTAACTGCACGGTTAGCGGCTCAGCCTGCGTTGCCATGTCTGCTTTGATTGAAATAGTCGAAACCTCAAATTTAAATATGAATCGTTATATAAATACTGAGTACAGATAGCAAGTGCGACGGATCCGTTTTTTTTTTTTTTTTTTTGTGATTTGGAATTTACTGTCAAAATATTGGCACACTGATGTGTCGCTCTGTAATCGCCTCGCGTGAGAATTATTTGTGCGCAAACTGTGCCGTGGCGTGTACTATTAAATCAGTAGACCAGGAGTCACGCAACTGTTTTCTTTTTTCAATGGGGAATTGTAGTAGACTGTTTCCGTAGCCCGCTAAGCACCCGGATAGCGCTCCATAATCCGCCACAAGACCTTGAACTATGCAGACAAAGCTGGCGGCGCGCATGCGCAGCTGCGGCGTTTTCTTCACGGATACCGTGGCGGAGGAAAACAAACTGTTTACTACAATTCCCTAATGTCTTAGCCGC